TTTGGACCATTCCTTCCAGCAGTAATTCTGGTGTAAGGGACGTCAACACGCAGTGCTATGAAGACGCCACCTCCGCGTTGGTTAGCTGACTGATCTTTCCTTACGATGTTGTAACCTTTGGGAAGAATCTCTTTGTCCGAAAAGTTATCATTGAGCCATGATTCTGTCAGAAAAATTAAATCGAGTTCCTCAGCGTAAACCAGGTCTTGAAAGGATTTTAAATTGCTAGCGTATGATCCGTCAGGTAACTTTCTAGTGCTTCGAATACTCTGCGCATTGAATGAAAGACAACGTAGATGTTGATTGTTTGGACCTGGGTTAGTAGCAATGTCACCAGCAAGTACGATCACCAAAAGCAGATGTATGTTCTTAAACTGTAATCCGTAGCGGTGGTTGGTGGGCGAAGTAGATTTTCTTAAAATGTTATCGCGCGTTGAAACCCATAAGTTGCTCAGTCGTTCTGGTGTTGATGTTAGTTCGGAGGAGATCGGATAACGTTCAGGAGTTATTTTGATGTTGACAGGAACATAGACCGGTTTGGATCTAATTGACAGCCAAAAGATTACTGCAAAACACACACACCAATGGCAAATCTTTAGCAATAGTTTTTCTTTCCTCATTTTCGTAATCATGTCCAATTGTCTGATGAGTAGTTCCGTAATTGCTTTAATTAGTGAACAATAGTTACGCGCGAAATTGTTTTCTATAGTGTTCGAAAGTCGTCAGCAAAAACGTTGAAGATACAAACTTCGTCAGCACGTTGTGTGGCGTATCACGCGTGCGCAAGAAATTTCAACGAATTTTCCGATTTCAGAAACAAGATAATCACAATAAAACAGCAATGTCACCGTTAATTTTGACCAATTAAAACCAGGTATTCGTAAATAAACTTCGGAAATCCAATGAGTAGGTCTTTATCCACCAATGTACAATAAGTTATACTGTAGACTTTAGATTTTTATCGTTAAATTTTATAGTTTATCGGAGAGCTTTTTGTGTCCGTGCGCACGCGATCACGCGATCACGTCACAAAAATTTTTCAACTATCTGAAAAATACTAGTAGAACTTCGACAGACTTCGATGTTTCGAGCGAAGGCCCTTCGTCGTGAAGTTAGTAGCATGGATCGGGAAAATACATTGCTTTTGTACTTACTAGTGAATACTAGAGATTTTTACAATGATGTCTGAACCTGGCTGCGCCTTCTCCATATTTTCTAACATCTGCAGAGGCCTTTATAGAAACCAGGTCTCAAACTGTCATCATTTAAACAATAGACAACTTTACGGTTTATTACACTTTTGTCCCAATAGCTTCGTTTCCATGTTTACTTGTTTTAGCATGGCAGGCGCACATGAAGGTTATATTTCCTGCACAAATAAGTTTTTCTTTGAGCTCAATCACAAGCTTATCCTTAAACATATTGTGCACGAAACACATGAGGAAATAACCACATTAAAACGCATGCAAGGGTGGGTTGACTACAAAATTTTTGTAGTTCGCTATAACTACAGCTACTTCAAAAATATGTAGTCAGCTACAACTACTGCTACATTTGAACAAAGGCAGTTCGTTACTGAATACAGCTACTGCTTAAAAAAATGTAGCGAACTATTTCGCTACGCTATATTTTTTAGTTTTACTGTATTTGGAGCATCTACTAACTCAGGCTAAAATGTAACCTATAACAAATCGACTTACGAGTAGCAACAGTAAACACAAAGCGTGCAAATTGACTATTGAGTATTGATTTTAGGGATGCCTCACATATCGATTTTTTCCACGAGAAACGTCATATGTTCGTTTGGGGGTGGGGGGGTTGGCAGCTGTGACGTTTCTCTGTAAACATCATGGAAAAAATCGATAGTTTTAATCTTTCCAGAGTATAAAAAAGAAAACAATTTGATACAAACAGCAGTCTATATATTCGTAATACCATACCTGTTCTATACCTATACATTTATATTATTACGCCTTCTTTGCATTTGAAAACACTCGAATTTCAAGAAATGCGCGCTAAAATTATCAATATTTCCAACCTCGTTCCCAGGGCCTTTCCCTTTTTGTCATTGGGAAGGCGGCAATCTCGTTCCCCGAGCCTGCGATCCTTGGGAAGGAAACGAAGGCTCTGGGATAATCCATCTCAGACATACAGAAAACTGTATGTCGACCGAACTGCGCATGCGTTGCCAAAAGCAGAACAAATTGTTTGAAATATTTTATTGTTTCGTCTATAAAATGATGATTTTTTCGGGGTTTTGGTGGAAATGTTGATGTTCTTCATAGTGGGATACAAAAGGTGTGTTAGCGACTGAATAAGGAAAATATTGCGTGTGAAACAGGGTCAGTATAGAGCCGGCAGGAGCCGCGAAGAGTGCTGTTGTCGAAGAAAAATGTCACAATTAATTGTAATCTTGTCCATTCTGGCCTCTGTGCCAGTTTGAAAAAGCTTTAAATGTAGAGACATTTGTGGTTTCTCCAGCATAAGTTAGCCGTTTAACGCTATTATGTTTCTGATGGTTGAAAGAGCGCGTGGAAAGGGCAATTTTCAAGAACAAAAACAATTACAAATTATGTACTGTGTGTTAATTCACTTAATTGCAACTGTAATATTAAAATACCTGAAGAGAGTCTCAATTCTAATAATAAGTCTGTTATAAACCTTGATAATATTAAAGTTTTCAGAAGATTTGTATATCAGAGGAATATTAAAAGGAATATAGA